TTTACTGAGTGAATAAAAGAGCAGCGGATGGTAATGTGGGTGGTAAATTTAGCAGTGCATTTATCGAAAGTAGTGCGCGATTTTCACTGCGACCCTAATCATAAAATCCAAACCCAGATGAATTATATATATATATATATATATATATATATATATATATATATATATATATATATAGAAATAGACCTCAAATCTATTTTTAATACACAATGAACCACTGAAAGCGCCTGCAAGGATGACCAACACTGTTCACTATGCATAAACACGTCAGTAATCCACGGCAGTAACCCGGGGGGTCTACAACAGAGCTGATGAACACGAATGATATTTTGAAATGTTTACCTGAACAATAAAAACGACATTACCAATCTTAATCATGCCATTACAACACAATAAATATGAATAGTAATAGAGAAGGATTTACAAGAAAAAAAAGGAAATTAATTAAAGTATTCAACAGTTTGTTTTGTAATTGGCTCCCAATTATCACTTGCTCCGATGTTTCGTGACTGGTCACTTGTTGTCAATCTGGTCATGGGAGCTTGAGTGCTTGCACAAATTGTTTCTGAGCACAGTTAGCGGTTATAAATCCTTCTCTGTTACTAGTCATGTTTATTGTGTTTTAATGGCATGATTAAGACACACTGAACACGTGTTTGTTTGCCAATTCGTGTTCTCATTGTGAGCTCCGTTGGATATTACCAATCTTTCCTCTTTAATGCCATTGTGTTTCACAGACCGGCTTGGAAGCTCCATTGCTTGATCGGTTTGGTCAGGTGGAGTTTGTCAACAACGGGGCCGGCATCAAAAATCCGTTGGCATGCGCAACTAAAGTGGAACGTGAAGTGCTGAGTCAACTGTACGGTAAGTCGTTCAATTCCATTTCATGCCATCTCTATACTTCTCGAGCACAGAATCTTTGATAACTTAATTTTCATAAACTGATCTGAACCAAAAACACACACATCATTATGATTAGGTCTTCCATATGGTCCGCTATTCCTGGCATCGTTCGGCCCGCACCATTTATTTTGATGTATCCTGTGGAGGTTGTCTCAATGTGTCAAAAATGCTATCCGTGGTGAAAAAAGATTACAATGGTTTTGGAAGTTCATAAAACATCAAACTCTCATGCATTATCAGGTTTTTGAAAGAGAAAAAAAACATAAAACTCGAATGAGGCATTCCTTTGTATAGTCCAACATAGTCAAATACAACGGGGTCTGCCTCAATGGATGCCGCTCCTTGGGAGTTCGATAATGCAACAAACTGCATTTTGAGACAAAATGCAGTTTTCTGCGTCAAGAATCAAAATAAAACTGTCGAGTTTTAAACTGTAAACTTTTATTCGGATACAGTAACCGTTGCTTCTGAGCTACGCTGTCAGTATCCAATATTTTGGGTGCATGCGTTTGGAGATTCAAGTCGCTATTTTAATGTCGTTTTCGGCAAACTCACAGATATCGGGGTCGGTCTGGTTTGCTCCAATGCGCTGTAACTCGAAAGTGCATCAGGCGTTTTGTCTAGTGTCAACATCATGTCCGTTGTAGCACTTATCTAACAAAGCCCAAAGGGGGCTCATTACTGTACCTAGGTTCCCAAGTTTGAGGTACTATTCGTCAAATTCGGTGTTACTTAGCTGATTACAACATCTGTTATACCTGGGCATGATCTTTAGCACCATAGAGTGCAAGTCACTGAATCACTTTCAACTGAAAAGTAGGTTATGGTAGGCATTAGAGATTACCCAGTTTTGTTGTTCAATACAAAATGCCAAATATCTATACAGAAATTGATCGAACTGGTGCAGACACGGACCTCAGTTTTCAATATCATAATTGCATTTTGATGGGCATCCTAACCAATCGCTTTTCGCTAAATAAATCGGTGTGATCTTGACTGTTATGATAAAATTTAGGGTTGTTCAAAAGTTATAGCGAAAAATACGAACATGTTTTGTGCAATGCAGCACATAAGTTGATTCGTCCTACTAATTGGTCATTGTCTGGCGAGGATATTTAGTCTGGTCAATCTAGGCCTTTCAAAAAGCGCATCGGTTGTCAAGCGGTGCAGAACGAGTACACCAATAAATGCTAACTGCTTATCACAAAATACATTTAAAAATTATGTAGTTCCACGTTGCTCTCGCTTGTCACGGAAGGATAAAAAATAAATTGCCGGAAACGATGAAAGTCGACCGTGAGGTGTGAGGCTCGTTGAATAAGCATTCTGTAGTGTCACCATGCCCAAACCGGATGAAATATGCCCGAATGTTTGGTATGTAAGTCAAGTGGATAGATAATGGCTAAAAGATGTGCATAAATACAGTGTCGCAGTCCACGACTGGTGTAAGTGCTTTAAGGTAAAAAGCATAATTTATTATATAATCAAGTTAATTTCCACATCAAGACAGTAATGCAGAAGAAGAAAACAGCTCGCATCGAGACAAGGTGATCACATAGAAATGTGGCGGAAAGAACTGCAAAGAACGACTGTCGAGAATAGCCTGAGTGAATCTGCCGAAAAAGAATGACTAGATTTGATCAACGGCTGAAATCAGCCTATAGGAGGCCGTTATGGCACGCAAAAAAAGAGAACACATTAATTTTGCCAAGTAGATTAAAACCAAACCGCCCGTCCTTGTGGTGTTCAGCGTGTTTCACTAACGAATATCTACTGGTAGATGAGCAATGCACTAGGTTCCGAATGGCTATCATGGGCATAGCTTTCTGCGGAAATAAATTTCTCCGATCGCAAGAAGTGAAGTTTCGTCTTGGAGAGTCTTTTTGTTTAGATCCCGTACAAGACCTCCTGAATCGTGCAAAATTTATTGAGCTAAGCAAGCAGGGGACTGAGATGGACGTAACATATTTGGAAAATCGATCCTTTTTCAAGATAACGTTATTTATCCTGCGAGGTTTCTCATATAATGTTTTATCACATTCAGACAGGTTCTGCAATGACAACTTCCAAAATAGAATTAATTCAGTTAGCAGCTAAGAGTCCGGAACGGAAGGCTATTCGAAAACGTTTTTTCTGTGCTGAAGACAACACGTAGTCATCTACCGTCAGAATGGTCGTTAGATGTCACAATGCAGCATGTGTCCGAGGGAACTGAAAAATGGGATTTATTTGCGAACTTGGTAGAATCCATGTTTAAAGGCTCAGAGTACTGAAAGAATGAAACTACAATATCACTGTCATACCTATTAGTTCAATTTAGTTCAGCTTGTTTAACCATCAACCATGCATTTTCGTGCTCCGGTTTTGCTAGCTGTCTTCTGGCCGCCAATTTTGATCAAACAGTAGGAGAAAGATAGGAAAATTAAAGGTAAAATTGAATGGAAAATTGATAATTTTAATGGACTGAGGTTGCAAGGATAATGAGTAGATGGACAGTGTCCCTAACCACCGGTTGTCACGACCTCGAGCTTCTCATCCATGGAGCCTGGCGCGACCTATATGACAGAGTTTTCTGGTTAGGGTTTCATAACCCCATGCTAAGTCTTAGTTTGACAACCCTTGGCTTATTCCACCCAAAAGCCTGTCTCGGTAAACTTCCTGCGCCGTGGTAACCTGTTTGACGATATGCGTAACACATGCCCCAACCAACATGATCTATGGATTTCCACCAATTGTTCCAGTGGATGACCGCGACTACCTAAACCTCTGTGCCTAACCTCAGCATTTCTCGTCCGGTTGCTCCACCGAATTCGTGCGATGCTACGAAGAGAGCTGTGTTCCTACACCCACAGTCTATTTTTATCCTGTGTTCGTAATGATCAAGACTCTGCGTTGTATAGCAAAACTGAGCGAACTGCCATTCCCAGACACCCGGATGTTGCGGCGGCGTCACAAATGTCTCAAGTTGACAAATGTCAGTCGAGTCTTCCGTACGTGAACTGACACTTCATACGTGCTTCATTCACCGGGAAAGATTTAACCATGTAAAGATGTAACATAGATTGAATTCAGGTCATTTTTCTGTTATACAAAAATTATCTATAGTTCACTTGTTCATTGCGTAAGAAACTACCGGTGTATGAAAAATGAGGCAAATCATAGTGTAACAATCAAATAATTTTGCAAACAAGAGTGGTAATGTTTTTTTTCAGGAACCAAATTGCTTCCTCACTCACAAATATCCTTCTCCCTAAGTGTTCTGTTGGTGCCCGTGCTAGATCACCGTTTTGTGCAATGTTTGTGTGATTTATTTTCTCGTGATTCCGTGCGTGCGTTGCCACATTTCAACTTGATTGGAAAGAGACAGGAACAGATTCATCACACACACACACACACTCACACAGAACCGCAAGTTTTAAACTCTCAATCCTGTTGCTTTTACACTTAGGTATTTCGGATTATATGTGTGGTGTCACTTTGCGGGGGATGGGGTGATGAGGAATCTCCGTTGTTAAGTTGAAGAGGATGAGTGAACAAACCACCCTATTTTATTGCATACTATTTGACATAAGTATGTCATCCTTAGTCAGTTTGGTTATCTTGATTTCACCTGTCTATCCTTCTACTTCGTATGTGAATGGCTGTACAATGTGTTCTGTTTAGTTAGACACCCAAATTAGGCTTGTACCTTCACTGTTGTTTAGCGGGCCTTAGCGGCCTAGAAGTCGTTTATTCTAATCTCTTATCACTAAAACATTGTCGATGTAGGACAGTGAATGCTTATGTAATGTAGTCACATTTGTTCGTGCTAGCCCTGTTTCAATGAGCCTAAATACCGACGGCGAAAGAGAATTCACCCTGGTGATTGACATCGTCGCAAACACACTGTTGCGTGTGTTTGCGTGCACACTCACCCGCACGCAAGCAAGCACACAAGCACTCTTAAGCATATGTTTGAATACATTTCATATAGACGAAACTATTTTTACATTTACGGATCAACGGAAAGAGCAGTTTGGCGCGTTTCTTCTGTCCCCTTTGTCATTTTTCAGAATACATATATGCGGTATTTATGCACTATCTGCATAGTGTACCGTTTTCACCACAATGCTACACCATGAGTGAAAGACGCGTGATCTGATCGGTTGAAGCAACCTGAATTGGTTCGGTGTTTTTGTACACGACCAAAGGATGCGTTAATGTAAAGCATAAAAGGCTTGATATTTTGTTAGGAAGGAATCATTCAAAGTGTGTGAAGCTAAAACATGCAACACAAAGTAGCTAAACAGAAGGACATAGTGAAATGTAAATGAACACTTAGTTGTTTAAGACTTTACTCAACGTTAAA